CCTTGCAATGACTCCTTGCAATGACTCCTTGCAATGACTCCTTGCATGACTCCTTGCAATGACTCCTTGCAATGACTCCTTGCAATGACTCCTTGCAATGACTCCTTGCAATGACTCCTTGCAATGACTCCTTGCAATGACTCCTTGCAATGACTCCTTGCAATGACTTTCATGATGATGATTCCTTGCAATGACTCCTTGCAATGACTTTCATGATGCTGATTCCTTGCAATGACACCTTGTAATGACTCTCATGAGAACAACTCAAGTGAACCCAGCGGAAGAACCCTTCGCCATGCTTTCGGGAAAATGGAAAAATGATGAGAAAAAACGGATGAGATGGACAGAAAGGAATGTAGAAAAATGATGAAAACGAATAAGGGTAGAAGATGGAAGATGAAAAAAGTTGTAGGGTGGGGTGTATGGATGAAAGCAATTTATTGCTAGGCGTGCCCCCCAACTACTGATTTAGGGCAGATTTAGGGCAGGCTTACGGGCAGGTGTTGGTGGTTTAGGGTGCGTTTCGGGCGAGTTGGAGGTTCAGGGTGGTAGGTTTGGACCAGCTGTAGGGCATTGGGGTTGTTTGGGGTCGTTAGGGTGGGTTTATGGGAGCAGCGCCCCCACCCACCCACCAAGACAAAACAAATAAAGACTCTAATGGACAAAGCGCGCGGTGACATAAAGGATTGAAGAAAAAAAATCGCCCGCGGTGCTTGCAACTTCAAGCAACACGCACTTGTTTTGCACCAGCACTGTGAAGGGTTTGCTTCGGATTGATTAAGGGTTAGTTGAGGGTGTAGAGCAGCGTTTTTTCGGTTTAATGATCCTTGATTGTATGCGCGCTTCTTTATGGGGCCGTTGTTCAGCTTTGTGATCCTTGTCTGTATTCTCGCACTTTCTCCATTCATATCATTTTTCCCGGAAGCATTGCGAAGGGTTCTTCTTCTAAAAGCGGCTGCCAACTTCACCTGCCAACTTCTCACGCCAACTTGTCGAGAGTTACTTCACCTGCCAACTTCTCATGCCAACTTGTCGAGAGTTACTTCACCTGCCAACTTCTCATGCCAACTTGTCGAGAGTTACTTCACCTGCCTACTTCTCATGTCAACTTTTTGAGAGTTACTTCACCTGCCAACTTCTCATGTCAACTTTTCGGCTGTTATCTCATTCTACTAAAAGCACAAGCTAATTTGTCGGGTGTTACTTCACTATCCTAAAAACACAAGCTAACTTTTCTGTTCTACCTTCACATCTCGACTCTTAATTCTTCTTCTTTTTATGGCGGGGTAGGCCCGACGGGAGCTTACGAAACGCACCCCTCTGCGGAGATCGTGCGTGTCGAAGCGCTCTCGCTGTGGCCCCGTGCGAATTTGTCTTGAGCCCGATGAACCCTCTGCGGAGATCGTGCGTGTCGAAGCGCTCTCGCTGTGGCGCCGTGCGAATTTGTCTTGACGCGGCGAACCCTCTGCGGAGATCGTGCGTGTCGAAGCGCTCTCGCTGTGGCGCCGTGCGAATTTGTCTTGAGCCTTGGCGAACCCTCTGCGGAGATCGTGCGTGTCGAAGCGCTCTCGCTGTGGCGCCGTGCGAATTTGTCTTGACCTTGGCGAACCCTCTGCGGAGATCGTGCGTGTCGAAGCGCTCTCGCTGTGGCGCCGTGCGAATTTGTCTTGACCTTGGCGAACCCTCTGCGGAGATCGTGCGTGTCGAAGCGCTCTCGCTGTGGCGCCGTGCGAATTTGTCTTGACCTTGGCGAACCCTCTGCGGAGATCGTGCGTGTCGAAGCGCTCTCGCGGTGGCGCCGTGCGAATTTGTCTTGACCTTGGCGAACCCTCTGCGGAGATCGTGCGTGTCGTAGCGCTCTCGCTGTGGCGCCGTGCGAATTTGTCTTGACCTTGGCGAACCCTCTGCGGAGATCGTGCGTGTCGAAGCGCTCTCGCTGTGGCGCCGTGCGAATTTGTCTTGAGCGCGGCGAACCCTCTGCGGAGATCGTGCGTGTCGGATCGCTCTCGCTGTGGCGCCGTGCGCATCTGTCTTGAGCCCGACGAACCCTCTGCGGAGATCGTGCGTGTCGAAGCGCTCTCGCTGTGGCGCCGTGCGATTTTCTTGCTCGCGAAACGGCGTTTGGAAGTTGTCTCGTGGTGCGCGCGCCTGCTTTCGCAATCCCGCGGTCCCGGGTTCGATTCCCCCCTGGTCCGCGGCAGCTCCGGCTTGAAAATCGCAGCTTTTAAGTACAAACGTAGTACGCGGAGCGTGCTCCTGCAGCTCCGGCTGGAAAATAGCAACTTTTAAGTACAGACGTAGTACGCGGAGGCTGCTGCAGCTCCGGCTGGAAAATCGCACTTTTTAAGTACAGACGTAGTACGCGGAGCGTGCTCCCGCAGCTCCGGCTGGAAAATCGCAACTTTTAGATACAAATGGCTGGAAAATCGCAACTGTAAAATGCAAATGTAGCACGCGGAGCGCCTCCGCCGCTCCAGCTTTTTGAGGGTTAATTACTTCACCTGCCAGTTTCTCATGCCAAAACTTCGAGAATTACTTCACCTGCCAGCTTCTCATGCCACCTTTTCGAGAGTTACTTCACCTGCCAACTTCTCGTGCCAACTTTTCGAGGAGTTACTTCACCTGCGAGCTTATCATGCCAACTTTTCGAGAGTTACTACACCTGCGAGCTTCTCATGCCAACTTTTCGAGAATTACATTACCTGCCAACTTCTCATGCCAACTTTTCGAGAAATACTTTACCTGCCAACCTCTCGTGGCAACTTCACCTGCCAACTTTTCGAGAATTACTTCACCTGCCAACTTCTCATGCCAACTTCTCGAGAAATACTTTATCTGCCAACCTCTCGTGGCAACTTTTCGCAAAATTACTTCACCTGCCAGCTTCTCATGCCAACTTTTCGAGAGGTACTTCACCTGCCAACATCGCCTGCCAACTTTTCGAGAGTTACTTCGCCTGCCAACTTCTCGCGCCAACTTTTCGAGAATTACTTCGCCTGCCAACTTCTCATGCTAACTTTTCGAAAGTTACTTCACCTGCCGGCTTCTCACGCCAACTTTTCGAGAGTTACTTCACGCGCCATCTTCTCGTGCCAACTTTTCGAGAATTACTTCACCTGCCAGCTTCTCACGCCAACTTTTCGAGAGTTACTTCACCTGCCAACTTCTCATGCCAACTCTTTGAGAGTTATTTCACCTGCCAACTTCTCATGCCAACTTTTCTCTTGAGTTACTTCGCCTGCCAACTTCTCATGTCAACTTTGCGAGAATTACTTCACCCGCCAACTTTTCCAGCCAACTATTCGAGAGTTACTTAACCTGCCAGCTTCTCATGCCAACTTTTTGAGAATTGCTTCGCCTGCCAACTCCTCATGCTAACTTTGCGAGAGTTACCTCACCTGCATCAACTTGCCTCTATGCTTCCGGGCCACTCGTCGTCTAGTGTGCTGTTCTAATTCTTTATTTGTTTCTCCAACTTGAATCCTACCCAAACCAATCCTAAAATTCCACCCACTCTAAAACCATCCCAAGCCAACCCTCAAACCCACCCTAAACCAACTCAAGAATAAAGCCAGACCTAATAAGCCCACCTTACCAACCCCAAACAAGCCCCAAGCAAACCCCATACCAACCCTAACCCCCGACGAAACCACCCCAAAGCAAAAACCAGTCCTAAACCCCACCCTAAACCAGTCCTAAACCCAAACTACACCCACCCTAAACCAAGGATTACAAACCAGGATCAGAAAGATGAACAACGGCCCTCTTCCAGAAGCGGGGGGAGGTCCCCGTGGGAAAAAACATATGAAGACACTGATGGAGAAAGCGCACGATTACAAACTAAAAAGGATCGTAAAGCTGAGCAACGGCCCTAAAACGAAGCAGGGGGGTTGGGGGCGGGGGGGCGGACCCCCCCCCAATTAGAAAAGGAAATGCAGACACTAATGGAGAAAGTGCGCGCCTACAAGCAAATTAAAGGTCACAAAGCCAAACACAAGCCCTACAAAGAAGCGGGGCCACTAGAAAACAAATAGAGACACCCATGGAGAAAGTGAGTGAGTGAGTGAGTGAGTGAGTGAGTGAGTGAGTGAGTGAGTGAGTGAGTGAGTGAGTGAGTGAGTGAGTGAGACAGTGAGTGAGTGAGTGAGTGAGTGAGTGAGTGAGTGAGTGAGTGAGTGAGTGAGTGAGTGAGTGAGTGAGTGAGTGAGTGAGTGAGTGAGTGAGTGAGTGAGTGAGTGAAGTGAGTCAGTGAGTGAGTGAGTGAGTGAGTGAGTGAGTGAGTGAGTGAGTGAGTGAGTGAGTGAGTGAGTGAGTGAGTGAGTGAGTGAGAGAGAGAGAGAGTGAGTGAGTGAGTGAGTGAGTGAGTGAGTGAGTGAGTGAGTGAGTGAGTGAGTGAGTGAGTGAGTGAGTGAGTGAGTGAGTCAGTGAGTGAGAGAGAGAGAGAGAGAGTGAGTGAGAGTGAGAGTGAGAGTGAGAGTGAGAGTGAGAGTGAGAGTGAGAGTGAGAGAAGTGAGTGAGTGAGTGAGTGAGTGAATGACTGAATGGATGGATGGATGGATGGATGGATGGATGAATGAATGATTGCATGCTACACGCCACTGCCCCGCCCACTAACAAGCAGGCAGGCAGGCACCCAATCAACTAACCAACAACACTTCCCACCAAAGGACCAACGGACAAAAAAAAAAAAAAACAACAACAACACACACCAAAAAGACCAAAGGACCAGCGGTCCAAAGCACCAAGGGTCCATGGGACCAACGGACCAAAGGACAAAGGGACCAACGGACCAAAGGTTCGGGGACCAACGGACCAAGGGACCAAAAGAAAAGGCCCGGAGGACCGACCAAAGGACCAAGGCCCGGGGGACCAAGAGAGTCTACAAGCAAAGCTGAGGGATTCTGGAAAGTTTTGATTGCTAAAATAGTTTTGCTTTGATACCGATGATCATCCCGTCAATCTTGGTGCACGCATCCACCTATCACACCTTGGGCAGTTGCAGCAGTGCAGTCTGCCAAGAGGATGTCCAGCCTGAATCGCCAATGCCTGCCTTAGGTGCCTTGCAGCTTGGCATTCCGTGCCCAGTGCGAACAAGCCGCTTGCTCTCATCCCGGACCCTTGGCCAACGAGCGAATCTGCCCTGGTGCACTCTTTGTGGCGCTGGGGCCACCGACTTATCGCCGTCACGTCTGCTGTACCCGTTGTTCAGCGCCTGCAGTGCTGCAGTGCTGCTTGCACGGAGCCCGGGCTTGCGATCACCAGCCTGGCAGAAGCAGGCGCCGTGCTCCTGGCATCGCGGGTCTCAACCAGCGAAAACAACCCATGAAATAGGTCACGGGAGTCACGGGTCCTTCAAATAGGTCACGGAATTCGGAGAGATGGCAAGCACCCCTGAGCATGTGCGATGTGCTTCGCACCGCACGTGCATTTATTCAGAAATGCTGGCTTTGCACCAAGCTGCCGCTCGTGGGAGGAGGCAGCGGCACTATTCGAAAAGCATCCTCTGGAAGGCCATGGGATGCCTTGGCCAATGATCTACAGACTGCTATGGCCAATGACCTTGCACAAATGTAGAAACGGAGGCTCCAGCCCAAATGAGGTGCACCGATCGCTGTACCAAATCCAGCACGAAGATTAGCACTGAGCTCTCCTGGCACGAAAAGGACAGAGGCACCAAGGCCTAGGTTCAGCTCTCGCCCGCCTTGCTCTCGCTGCAGCCTCCCCAGCTGGGCCGGGCCTCTTGCAGAACCCAGGCACATCAGTTCGTGCAAAGACCCTCTCGGCACCTGCCCCAGGCAAGCCAGTGTAGGTTGGTGATAGCCTGGCAGGCGAACACTGAAAGATCCACTGCCACCATCAGTTCTCGCCTCCCAAGACAGCAGCATCCTCAACCTCGGAGAAAAGCCCGCTTGGCAATGAACCCCTTCACGCAGTGATGCCACGCAAACACGTCGAGAGAGCTTCATACCATCAACCACACATTACTTGCCTGTCTCGTGTTTTGGGCAGCAAGGGGCGCCAAGGCTTTCAGGCTAAGGACAAGGATGCCGTCGCACGTATGAGCCATCGGATGCAAGCAGGCCGAGGTTCCAGCATGATGCAGCCGCAGCTGGGACCAAGCCTGACATCAGCAACAACTTGCTACCTGCAGCGTCTGCCTGCGTCCCAATACTTTCTATATTTTGTCTTTCCTTTTTGTCACGCATACTTTGCCATGCGTGTCTGCAAATAAACTGAGCAATAAGGTTCGGGATAGCACGTGTTGGGTATGGCTTGCCTGCACAGTGAAGGGTGCTCTCAGGCTTGACTGCTCATCCTGGGACCAAGGCAGTGCAAAAGGGGTCCATCAAGTTTCGCAAGTCTCCTGATGGTGCAAAGCTCCCAGTTGTGCGCTATTGTCACGACCTCGAACCGATGAACTACTGGATGCAGGATGCGAGCATCACTAGACGATGCCAGCAACTTGCCAAAGCAGGCGGACTTGGTGCCACACGCAGAACAGGATTCTGGCTGGTGGGGAACACTACCAGTCGTTCAGGCAAGGCATGTGCCAGCAAGCCTTACATCACAATCACGTTCTCTCTGCTCTTGAGCCTAGCACCCGAAACTCTCCTTGGCACCCGGCATCGCTGCTCGGGGTCAACCAAAAGCTTTGGTTGAAAACCCTCTGGGGCAGCTGGATCCTCAGAGGGAAAGCAAAGCCACGAGCCCGAACTGAAGCGCACGGGTTCTGAGCTGGAAGCTGTGGATAACACATGCTGTCCACAAGTCTGAGCAGTGCCAAGCTCCTGTATCCGACGGCAAACCTTCTGACGGACACGAGCGCAAGAACCGCGCCGCATCGTAGCGAAGCACGGCCAAATACCGGGACCGCCGGAAGAGCAACGCCAAATGGGTCACACCTCGAAGCACGGTCGCAACCCACAGGTGCCCTGCGTCGCATCTATTGCCGGGCACCTGTGGGTGGTCTGAAGGCACAAATTGCCTCAGGCCGTCCACAGAGCTGGATGCTGAAGGCGAAGCCAAGCCTCAGGCGTCAAAGTGGTCAACAATGGTCGAGACATGGTCATGTGGGTGTCTTTGTAGGGGACCCCCCAAAATGGTGCGTGTTCCTTTGCTTGTCCCTTTGAAACCACCAAAGAATGGATACCCTCAAACAAAACACGGCCATGTGATGTAAGTGCCTGTCGCTTTCCAAACAGGCCCAGCGCGCCTGTTCTGCCGGCGGTGCAGATGGTAGACCTCCAACCGGTCGCCGCGGGTCAGCACCTGCACGGGTCGTTGCACGCGCGCTTGCCGCGTTTGTTCAGCTCCGCGCCAAGTTGTTGACATCAGCCCCGGTGAAGGACGCAAAGATACTGCCTCGCTTGCTGAAGGGGCCAGATTTGCTCATTGGACAGTTGCATGGGTAGGCGTGTCGAGATGGGAGCGCTTACCGCCGAACATTTCACTGCATGAATCAAGGTCTCGGATCCGTAGCACCCGGCAGTCCACCACGGAGGTGGGGGCCAGCTGCTGAAACACTGCGAAGCTCATCGCTCTGACGAAGATGAAATAACAGTCTAGTAAGCTAGTATTCAAAGTTAGGTAAGGTGGCAGCAAGCTAGGAGTTTGCCAAGTGGTAAGCTGGGTAGCAGGCTAAGCAGCAAGCTAAGTAGGAAACTGAGTAGTAGGCTGAGTGGTACGATAAGTAGTAAGTAATTTAAGCAAGGGGACTCGCTAGTGCTGCGTTGTTGGTGCCGGCGCCTTTTTGTGTCTCGTTTCCGGTGCAACTTGTGCCTGCCGAGCTTTGCCAGCTCTATCGAGGTTAGGTTCACATCGGTTTTGCGCAGCCAAGATCTGTCAGGGTCAAGTCTCTCTGGAAAACAGCCCTGTTTAAGAACCAAAGCTGCGGCTGTTGCTCTAAACGAGCTTTGGTGCTTGGCAGGTGCTTTGCAGGCTCTCGAATGCTTGCAAAGCTTGCAAAGCTTGCAGACGTGCAAACCGTCCTTTTCCTGCGCTGCCGGATCCGAGAGGCTTTGGGCAGCTGCTCGTTATCTGGCGAGCCTGAGCCTGTGGCCTGCTCCGGGCCCGGAACCAAAAGAGGAACTTCAAAAGGAAATCACATCAAAATTTCATCAAAAGCCAAAGGGTACCGGAGTCGACCTCAGGCTTAGGCCCGACCCCAAGCACGGGGCCTGGGCTAGCATTATCAACCTGCGCCACATGGCTACATGATGGGTACATGATGGGTACATGGGCACCCGCGGCATTAACGGAACGGAGCACTGGCCCAAGGCGTTCTTGGCTCAGAATGGCAAGAAATGCCTCGCGGACCGCTCGATGCGTTCCCGCCTCTTAGAGGCTATGTGTGCAAGTCAGCACGCATTGCTGATGTGTTGTTCCAATACAACCACAAACTGCAAATAACATTGACCGTTGTGCAAATGTCCTGGCCTCTATCTTGTAGTCCTTGACTCTGGGTCATGCATTCGCTGCATGGTCGACTGCAGGCTGGCGAGCCTGTCCTTGCGTTCTTGTTTTGCTACATGCTAAGCACTCCTGGACATGTCACTCGTTGCCCTTGGCTGTTTGCGGTCGGCTTCAAAACGATATGCCTCGCCTGCAAATTCATTTGCTCCTCAATGAGCTGCTGGGGAGACTGGGGAGGTGCTTGAGGTGACGTCGGGCTGGAGCTCACACCTCTGAGCTAACTCCGTCGGCATTGAATTTGCGACTCCTGGCCCAGAGGACCCGAGGCCGGGGCCCGTAATGACGAGGTTTGGCTGCGAGCGTGGAACTGCAACCAGCTTGGGCCTCCACCAAATCTCCCCGCAGATCGCACAGGAAACCAAAAGCACCAAATGCACCGAATGCACCGAATGCCCTGCCTGTCCGCTCCAGGGCTCTGAGGCACCTTGACTGATGCGTGGGACGGCCAGGCGGCCAAGCAGTTAGAACTTAGCCCCGTCACTTCCAAAGATCCAAAGCCAGGAAGACGCTCAGGTGACTTCTTTGGAGAAGCGCTCTGACCTGACGCAAGAGATTCACAAAGAACATCAAAGACGGAAACAACACGCTGACAACTTGGATGCCTTGACTCATTGCATACGATGGCATACGGCCTTCCACCATCTGCCGAGTTCGCGCCAGGAAGTCCAGGGTAGATGCCACGCCAGAGGGCGCTGGCGCGAACGGTAGGGCCAGGGGCTTTGGCTTCCTTGGCTTCCGAGCGTTCAAGACATAGAGTGTGGATCAATTCAAGACATAGAGCGTCTCCGACCCTTTGTCCCACTTGAGTCACTTGAGGCGGGAAGCGCTCTGCTTCGACTCTTGTCTTCAATGGGACTGGGCGCTTTCTCTGTTCTCTCGTACCTCACGAGAGGGCAGCTTAGGGTCTGTAACAGCTGACGGGGCAGATGCAATGGCACATTCTGAGCCACCTGCCAGGCCAACTTGCGGGGCGCAGTCGTGAGCATCGCAACAAGTGCAGCAGTCAAGCGCCTTGGCAGGACTTCCGCTTGCACGGTGCACGGCGTTGCACAGCATCTCAAATCTCAGACCGGCCTCCGGTAGACGCGCTGCAGGGCGGCAGCCACGCGCTCCACCGGCAGCATGGCCCGCTCCCTCACTTCTGGCGGATCCTGACTCGCCAAGTGGCTTGGTCGCAAGAAGCTACAAGATGCAAGGTGTTCGAAGGTGTTGCAAGCACGGCATGAGAGTGCAAGAGTTCAAGAGTCTGAGATGGGCCTTGGGGTTGGGAGGAAATTGGATGCCATTGTGGTGGAGCAGCTCTGAGGCCGTCCGGGCCTAGGACAAAACACAAGTCACAAGGCAAGAAAAGTCCACCGTCACAGACATCTGGCCTCCGCTTCTGCGCCCTTCCGAGCCGCAGTTTCCACGGTGAGGTCTTGCTGGGCCTTCTGGATCTGCTCCTTCGAAAGGTCGTTCGCTCGGGCCGAACTGGTCGCTTCCCATCTCTTCCCATCTCAAGTCTCTTCCTTCTCTTCCTTCTCTTCCTTCTCTTCCTTCTCTTCCTTCTCTTCCTTCTCTTCCCTGCCCCCATCTCTCTCTCTCTCTCTTTCTCTCTTTCTCTCTGCTCCTCCAAGCCCTGGCGCTTCTGTTCCTCTTGCCCAAGAAGATCTGCAGCCATGTGCTCGGCTTTCACATCTGCAGACCAGGCCACCAGGCACTTCAGGACCTGCTGCAGGTCCTGCCCACTCTGGCCAGCTCTATCACTCCATCGCTCGATCAAACAAGCCCTACGCTGTCCTTCAGCTGGTTTTCGCGTGTGTTAGAGGCCCTGTACGCAATTGCAAGCGCAACTTTTGATTGAGCAAAGCCGAAGAATTGAACAGGATTGCTTGACAGCCTGAGCTTGGCAATCATGTCTTGCTTCAGGTCAAACATTTCTCGTCTGTGCTCCTGCATTCCGGGTGGGTATGTGAATCGCATGTGGCTCCTGCAACCGGCCTGGCGAGCTGTTGTCTTTGAGCCTTGTGCAATCATTCTCTGAAACAATTACCACGGCCATCAAGCCAAGCTGCGATGCTCTTTGTCATCCCGGACAAGGTTCCACCACACGCGGAAGGAGAACTTCGCCTCGGAAATTGAAGCTGGGCTGTGATTAGCACTTGGGGGCAGAGGCGGGGCATCAGCAACAGCACACATCTGAAGCTGGCACCAAGGAGATGTCGCTCGCTGCTACCATGACATTGGACATCACCACCTCCAAAAGCTGCGAAGCAAAAAGCAGCGTCCAGCTAATCCGCCAGGCCCACTTATGAGACAACCGGCCTCGTCCTTCTGCTTCTTCAGCTGGGCTCTCAGCTTTTCCTGCATAACCCGGGCCTGTGCGGAGATGTCGGCCGCCCTTTCACTGAGACGGCGCCCACCTCTGCGTGGTTGTTTGCCTTCGTGAGCACCTTCCTTGGCATAGCCCGTTCACAGCGCTGGCGCGCACTCCCAACCAGGGCGGTCCATCTCCGGCTGAGCGAAGCTCGCATGCGCCTCCCGCACGTGCCACAGCCTCCAGCCTCGGACACCAGAAGCATGCGCAAGGCTGCCAGACTGGCAACTTCAAACTTCAGGAGCTGTGCCTTCTTTTGGACTGCGAGTGCCCACCAGCTCTAGGCAGCTGGCAACCCCAAGCATGAAGAACGCTGATTTCCTGGGCTGCGGAAGTCGATCCAAGCATTGACAAGTCGGACTCAGCAGCAGGCCATCAGCAGTTGCCCTGTCCTCAGACCGTGACGCCGTGCCCCAGCTTCCCACTGGCAAAGCCGTTGAGGCGCGTGCCACTCGGCCATGTGCCGACAGGTGTCGGTGAGGTCCTGCTGCGGCTGGCAGGTGCACCGGTCTCTTTGCACAGCACGCTGCGCCTTGCCCTTTTTGGTGTCTACCTTCAAGTGCCAGGTCTTGTCTTGCAGCACCTTCAGCTCGTTCTCCAGCTGGGGCAAGCATCGATATTCCCAAGAGAACATTCAAGACGTGCAAAGTCCCCCGCCCTCATCTTGACTTCACGCTGCTCGCCCCAGCGACGAGTGGCCATCCGCTCGGCCGCGTACTGGCGAGGAGCGGGGCGGGTTTGACTCATAGCGTTTCCCGTGGTGCCTCCAACCACACCACCAGGACCAAGGCCATAGTCATCTGCATCTCCCGCTGAGCTCGGAAGAAGTTCAGCACCTCTCCAGCAGCGGCCTTGGGGGCAGACTGTTGCAAACCCTTCAGCAACGATATGTTTTGCCAAAATGCCACACTTTTCCTGCGGAGCTTGTACATGTCCTCAATCTGGCGCTCCCTCTTCTTGTCAAGCCTCGCAAGAGAACAATGTGCAATAAGACCCACCTTCGTGCGTCAAGGGCTGGACTTTTCGATCGTCTTCTGCAGGTGGGCCTCCGTTTGGTTGACCTTGCGCTTGTTGCACAGATCACCCCCAGCGGGTATACGGTCCAGTCCAGTCTAGAATGAGACCCGGACATAGGGAATGAAGCAGAAGGCTGGGAAGTAGCGCATCAGTGTCATCTGACGCTTCAGCCGCAGCCAATACGGCACCAACGCATCCTGGCACCAAGTCATTGCCCTGCAAGCAACGTGAGCGGCTGGCCTGATGCTTTGCCATCGTTTCTTCGGCTTTCACAACACTCCGCCCATGCGATTCCTTTTCGACCTGTGCGCATAGGGGGAGCCCAGATGAGACAAGGCTGCAAGCCACTGGGCCTCCAAGGAACGTTCGACCTTTGCATACTTCACCTCAGGTCAGGGAGTTGCAGAGTTGGAATCTGCCATTGCCCCCGCGAGCCACAGCGATGCACTGAGCTCATGACCTCGCCAGCCCAGGCAGTAATCCATTTGGACTGCGTCTGCAGATCCAATTGGAGGACCCACTTGATCAAAACCTGCTCAGTCGGCTCTCCACACCATTTTGATCCTTTCCCTTCCCCAAACACATCCACATCTGTCCACATCAACCTCTTCAAGTTGCTCGATTCGCGCCTGGGCACGCTTGGAGCCGGCCAGGCGCTCTTCAAAGACGGACGTCTTCACCCTAGCCGCACTGATTACCGAGACCATGAAAAACAACGAGGCAAGAAACCAAGAAACCAACAAAGGTTGGAGGTGCAAAGCCGCTAACCTCTCGCGTGGCCTCTGCGAGTTCTCTTCGTCCTTGAGTTCCAGCGCTTGCTGATTGAAGTGTCGTTCCACTTGCTGCCGCCACTGGCACATCACCTGCGAAGTGAAGGGAAGTGCTCCCTCGACAGGCAATGCGGCACTTCGCTGACAAAACAAGACAGGGAGAAGCCTTTGTAAGGAGAGAAAGCTCCCGCGTATGCACCAGCATCGATGTGGTAAGCAGAGAGACCTTCCAAGTGGCCGAACAAATGCCAACAGCGCCAAAAGCTCAAAGAGACGTGCAGTGAATAGCATTAGACAGATTGCCTCCTTGCTGTGTGCTGCAACCTGGTCACCCTGCTTCCTGATTGTGTGCGGGCAAAGCACCAAACACAGCAAGAAACACGGACCTCAGCAAATGCTTGTGCATCTTCTTGGTCCACATGCAGGCCTGCAACTTGGATCGTGTCTGGATTGCAAGGCCGCGCCCAGCCTCTCGCCAAACATGCAGGATGTAGAGTCTGAGGATCACCTTTTCCCGGACCTGTGACACCCAAATCGAGGTGTCGTCTAGAAGTCTAGATGCTTGCTCTGGGTGTGCGGCGATAAAGGACAACGTTGCAAGCTTCCAGTATGACGCCTGAGCATTGGCAAGTGCTCAATCTGAACACGTGCGTCCTCTCGAGGCCTGTTTCTTTTCCTCTATCACGCGCAAAGTCTCCACGTGCTTGTCGTGCGTGTCCGCAATCTGGGGCATGGCAACTTGAAGCCGCCAAGTGTTCAAGTCGCTGTTCCGCTGCAAGCCTGCTGCTTTATTGTGATCGAGTACTCCTGGTACTTCTCCCGGTCCTGCAGTTTTAATTGTTTTCCCTTGTATGCCCGACTGCAGGTGCCACTCTTCCTGCACCAGGCGCCAATTCATGAAGATCACGAGCAAGGGTTCCTGGCGGAATATGGAATGTGGCATACTGGTACTACCGTGTCTAACTATTCTCACGTCGCAGCTTCAAACATATCAAGCTTGGAACGTGGAAGACCCACAGGCCTTCTTGCGGCGGCGGACAAGAAGCTCTGCGCTCTGCACGGCAAAGACGGACAGCTTCTCCCTGGAGAAACTCTCGCGAGCTCAGTCGGGCACGTGCAAACTGAGACGTCTGCAAGTTCTTCTTCTCCTTGACCTTGATGTCTTGCTCGGCCTTCAACGAGAGAAATCACGCCATGCTCTGCAGCTCCGCTCAGCCTCTTGGCGGATCTGGTCCATGGTCCCATGGTAGCTGCGGTGTGAGCGCATGCTCTTGACCACGGTTTGCCACGCCCTAGGCCGCAGAGGCTAGCAAAGCCAAACGAGGCAAGAGGCTCATGCAGTAGCATGTCCCGCAGGTACGACTCGCGACCTCGAAACTCAGTCGTGGCATGGAAGCAATGCACTCCATGCACTCCATGCACTCGCTGGGGTCGTCACCCACTTGCTCCAGCTCCTGGTGCATCCGGTCTCCCAGCGACTGTTGCCTCGCATTCCCGTGTGGACCATTGGGCCTCGTCCCTTTGAGCTTTGAGCGCCAGGCGCTTCCTCAGCTTCCTTGCGGATCACTTGGATTTCCTGGCGCCCAAAGGCAACATTCAACAGTACCCCACGAACTGAGAAAGTTATGCGCCTTTCTGTGCAGTCGATCTTGCTTCTCCTGCTGGACTTCTAGGCGGTGCAGAAGCACCTGCACACTTTGCCACTTCTTCTGCCATTCTGTTTGTTTTAGCCCCTCCCTTTTCCCCGCCTGGTGCAGCCACGCCAGCCAGATGTCCTGTGCATGTTCGGAAGGAACCAGCCTGGGGTCCTTGCTTTCCCTTGTCCTTGAGACGTACGAAGAGAATGGTCTTCCCCACGTGCTGCACAACATGATCTTTCAGCCGCAGAGCCTCGGAGCCACATTGCTCTGACTGGGAGCCCTCCCAGTCCCATGCCTTCAGATTCCTGACTTCGTTGTCCTGACAGCCCACACAACTGACACAGCCGCACACTGACCACACAGCCGTCGGCCGATCCACAGCCGTCGGCTTGCCGCAAGTCGCGAGTCCTTCTCCAAGCTCTGCTTGGCTTTGGCCACAGCCAGCAGCTCAGCGGCGGCAGAGCTGGTGAGACGCTTCACATGAGACCTGGGCAGTCCACCGAGCCCAAGGCAGCCCAAGGAAGGAAGGGCGGAAGTGGTGTGGTTCTGCTGCAAGAGCGCTTTGCAATAGCACGCAATGAGACATGAATTTGAACCAGAGTTTGAATCAGCATACACCCAGGATTTCCACAAGTAGCTCAGCCCATCTCTGGTGGATCTTTCGGGACTGCGAAGTGGACGGTTCGGTGAGATTGAACCAACATACGTCTCCCGTTTAGGCCAAGGCCAAGCCAGGAAGTGGCGCTGCATCTCTTGCCGCTTGACGCCTGGAAAAAGCTTATGCCAATCCCATTGATGGCAGCACTTTCTTTTCGCCCATGGCCTGTGAGGAACCTCCCTTGCGACTTCAGAACCATCCTCACGCGACAAAGGAGAGTCCGTGTCAAGCAAAGTCAACAAGCCTGTGCTTGGCCACACCCTGCGCATGCACCTAAGTGAGCTCACATGCACCTTCATGCACCTTCCATTTGCGGCCCAGGCCAGCTCTGCCAGCTCGTCCTCATGGCGTTCATTCACCTGAGGCAACTTGCACGCCGTTGAGTCTTGAAAGAGCTTCAGGCCTGGCCGAGTTCGTTCTCAAGTTGCCGCTGGTATTTGCACTCGTCCCACTTCTGCCTGGATGCGGCGGTTCTCCCCCGCCAATCAGCCACACAGGTAGGTCTCTGGCAGGCAGTACTGAAACCTTGGAATGCATTTTCAGGCGCAGACCCCGCCACGGAACTATGACATGTTCAGCTTGTCTCAAACAATGCATCCCAGCCACATCAGCTTGCGCTCACATCGACCCTTCATCTCTGCCAGTGCCTGGGTGCTGACGTCTGCATGACTCAAGCAGCTGCCACGGAGCGCACAAACAGAGGCGTACACTCGATTGGCACAAACCTGGTATTTTGTGACTCGAACTTGTTTGGCCGCAACAGATTGTTGCCGCTGAGCAGATTTCGTGGCAGGCGCAGTACTTTGTGAGTGGGTCGCCAAGGGCAGTGCATGTGTCTGTGCAAGTCCAAGTGAATATGATTTCTTGTTTTAGCGGATTCGAGAGGTCCTGAGGTCCTGATGGTTCTATAGTCACTCTTCCATTTTGAAACTCCAACCCCCGGCCTGCCCAGGCTCTACTATCTATTTGCCTATGTGTACACCCACATTCTGCAAAGGAATCAAGCATCCAAGGCTCTAGCGAGACGCAGGTTGTAGATCTTCAATCCCTGTGCCTGAGAACTGATCGCTGGACCGAGTGGACACAATCTTGAAGCCCCTAGCATGCATCAGCTCAGCAGTGTCGTCTTCGAACTGGACCATCATCCTAAAAAGCTCAGCAAATCTCAGGTGAGTGGCTCCAATAGTTGCTGAACCCCTGGCTACTCTGAGGCTGTAGCTGGGAGATCCGTTCCTCGTAGATTCTCTGCACAGCCTGTCCAGGGAAGTGGGACAAATGTCTCACTGCAATCCATGTCAACTCTTTCCCTTCGAAGCGCTTTGGCGCTGTGCATTCCTGTTTAGAATGCCTTGCTGGAGCTGCAATTTACGAGGCGAACACTAGGATTGGCATGTCGTGCCAGAGGCGCCATGAAATTGCACAGGGGGTACAAAGGGAATGTTCTTGTGGGGTGCATTTTGCGGACGATGCGTTGCAAGGCTACTCGCACCAATGAAAGGCGATGGCTGAGTGTCATTCGGCTCTTTTTTGCAAAACTCCAGGGGCTCCAGCCTGCTCCGCCCTGTACTCCTTCCAAACCTGGCCAAATGTAGCACAGCCTAAAGCAGGGCAAGCGGCCCGCGCCGTGAGGCAAACGCAAAACTTTGCTTCGGGAATTTCTGAAACATGTTGCAGGCGCGTGAGATGGCAAAGCGTGACTGACAGAGCTTGCTCAAAGGCGCCACGCCGGCCAGTGAAAACAACTTTTATAAGCGCGCCTCATCGAAACACCCATTTTCTCAAGGCTCCTTCTCTCCCTCTTCTCTGGTGGGCGCAAAGAATCGCGACGGCGTGGGGCTGCCTGCTTCTAGCGCCAAACAACTACGTTTCAGCGCAAAAAAGCCATTCGAAAACATTCGAACCACTGATGCGCTTCGCGCTGAGTGGGTGCTCTTATCAAGCATGTGCGCATTGCTGAGCGGATGCACTTGAGCGGGTGTTCTCATCACTGGGCAGGCGTGCATGCAAGCTGGTATGATTGACCTGTTCTTTTTCATTTGGTAGGTATGTATGCTGTGCTGATGCAGTGCGGTTGGGCAGCAAGGGGAGCTGCAACAGCCCAAACCGAACCCCTCCCCAAACCCAAAGCTATCCAAAACTATGTTTCGGCGGCGAGAGACCCGCTGAGCTAAAACAAGAGCTGACGGCTGCGTGGCAACCCAAGCGAGACGGCAAGACTCCAAGCAGACGCCTCAGCTTGAAACAGTGCAGACAAGCCATTGCGGCCATCATGCACATGGAGTTAGGCTGCCCTGCTGCAGCAGATACTGGTGGTTTGCTGCTTCATGACCTCGTCTCACAGTCTCACACTCCACTCGGGATATGCTATTCTTGCTGGCCTGAGCAAATGAGGCAAACACACCCCATGTTCGAGAAACAGAGACAGAGAGAGAGAGAGAAAGAGCGAAAGAGACAGAGAGACCACTTGGTTGCCAGCTTAGCGCGGCATATACCCCGTTCCTCGAAGACTCATGCATTCAAGCCATTCAGGAAATGCCGGAGCTTGGCAAGCCGAAACATTCCAAGGCTCTTTTTGGAGTGGTTTACCAGCAAGGACTTCACCTCGTTCATCTCCTACCATAAAAAAGCGGGGAACAAAACAAGCTGCTCCATATCGAAAGCGCCTCTTTGTGCTTGTCTTCCTGCTCATTGCGAGCCTGACAGGACGGTGATTGGAGCTGTCCTTGAAGACCGAAGGCTCCCACCACCTCTATCTGACTTTGGAGCACCTCAAGCCGCAATAAAAATAATTACTTTGCTCCCTCGAAATTCATCTTGAGGCCAAGACCAGCTGACTCCAGGCCAGCAGACATTGCCTGAAAGCGTACCATGCACAGGGCTCGATGTGCATGTCGCACATCAGCTGCTGACTTCACATTCCCAAAGAGCAGCATCCTCTCCTTGCCTTGGTCACACTGGTCCTGTCGCTTGTCGTGCCCACACCCAGTCCCACCTTGAACGGATGTAGCGATGAACTTTGCCCTGCGGTCACCTCACATCGTGCTCAGCTGCATTCCCAGCCTCTGAAAGTGTCATCGGAAGTGGCTGGAAAAAAGCAAAGTCAAGGCTTTGCTCAGGGAGCGACTGTGCAGCCTCTCCATCCTTCTCACCTCTTCCTCAAGAGCGGGCTTTCCCTCTCGACTCAAACCCATGGAAGTTAGCTATAAGTCTTTGCTCCTGCCTCGTGGAGCCGCCTCGCCTCCTCCGTCTTTCTCTCCTCCAGGCTGATCTCCACGCACTTACCTGTCCCCAAGGGTGTAACCAAACAATACCCTTGCCCTGTCTTGAAGTTTTGAAGGCTTGAGGCGCCTGCACTGATAGGACCCGAACCGATCCCCGAAAGAGGCCAAGAGGCCAAGAGGCCAACTGAACAAGCCGGGGGTCGTGCGGAACTGGATGAAGGTCTCCTGAGCAGAGTGCTATGGCGACCAACGTGCAAATCCACAGGCAAGGCGCCGCCAAGAGGGAGCCATTGTGGTTCTGAAAGAATCGCGCCGCCGTTCCTCGAAAGAATCGAGTGACGCACGAAGCTCCGACGATTCAGGAGGCGGCGGTAGGCCTTCTCTTTCGCAGCTTCCTGGCACCAGCTCAGAGAGCCTTTGGGCCAAGCTCTAGGTCGAAGAGTCGAAGAGTCGATGAGTCGAAGACAGGCCGGGCAGGCACGCCGCTGACCATCGAGCCGTGCCAGCTCCACCTTGTTCAGGCGCTCCTTCTCTGCCTCTCACTGGGCTGAGTGTCGGCATGTTAGGCGTGTGGCCAGACATGAGACACGGCCAATTGTTTCTTACCCAGAATGGACATGCGAAAACTAGCCAGCCCCTCAAGTCAGCTGTGGAAAATTTGGTCCCCATGTGCCTCCCAAATTGACCATAGACTGGAATGCCTCGACCGAACTTCACATGAGCCAGGCTAACCAGCCGGCACAGGCCTGCTGTGTCGCCATCTTTTCCTCCTGAGATAAGCAAGTTGCCCTGAGGCGCGATCAACGGTGGACCGGGCTCATGCGGACTCCTTGGCTATGGTCCGCCAAAGCCCAAAGATTGCGGACTGCAGGTGGGTGTTCTGCTGGCCTGGCTTCTGACAGCTCCGAGTCACTGTTGACTCGGCAAGTCCCCACCTAGCAGCTGCACGGCCATTCGATCTCTGGTTGCCTCACAGCGTCAAGCTGACACAGCCCCCACGAATCTGTTGCAGGCGAGTTGCCAACATAACCTTCTCCGCTTTCGACTTTGTTTTGTTGAGGTCCTTGCAGCGGCTGCGTCTCAGTTTGCCGAGATCTGTGTATGTTTACTCTGTGCTTGTGCGCCGAGATCAGGAGGCCTGCTGCAACTGTTGCTTTGCTGCGGCCTGAAGGTGCACACAAAAGCTTAAGTCCTGAGAGCGCATTTGGCACCGGCCTCCTCTGCTTCCTTCTTCGAGATCTGCCAATTAGGTACGAAGGTGAATCTGTCGCTTCAAACAAAAGCCGGCTCTCGCCTGTGTCTGCTGGCGCCAGGCCACAATGCACACAGACATGGTGCTGTTGCGCTCGAAGCCTGGAAACTCCATCGACATCTCCCCCGTCTGGGCTGAAACCTTGAGGATGCGACTGACCATGTTCATGGCGATTTGCCGGGACTTGCTGTCCTCGGTTCGGGGATGAAAACAACTTTATGGAAGGACGGGACCACATCGGAAGAGCGTCATTCAGCTTCTCTGCTTCTCGCTTTTGCTTCTTCAACTCCTGAAAAGTGCCCACAGGAAAGTTCAAACTACGCAACCTCCGCGGATTCGACCGCAGGGATGTTGCGCCGCACGCACTCGCATCACTTGCCACTCTCCTCTTCCAGCTGCTGCCTCATCTCCGCCTCAGAGCGCCATCGGTGCAATGCAACGGACAATCGCGCCACCTCCACACGCGCCTCTCTGCGCTCCTGCTTGCTTTCCTGAGAAAAGTCAATTCGGGAAAGTAAGCCTGAGCTGATCGCTGGCCTTCACAAAATTTCTCCACTGGAGCAGGCACACGGATAAGGTTGCACCAGTCAGCTGGCCTGGAAGCACGGCACTCACTCTGACTCCTCAAAGGTAAGGCTCCCCTCCCTCCAAGACTGAGCCAGCGGCTAAGGGCAGACTTGGCCATCTTCTCTGTGGCCATGGCCTCGAAGTCCCTCTGCTTCTTTTGCATCAACTTCAGGTCCTCCAAATCGATAAAACACAAAAAGATGGGAGAGCAGGGGTTGGGGAAGGGGAGACTTTGGGACTTTGGCAAATCCCCGATCCCCCGTGGCAATCTCCGGTCCTTTTCATAGCTGCTAGCAAGCTCCGCCTGACGGCGCGGCCAAGAGAACTACACGAAAAAAACTCCGAGCCTTGCGGCGCAAGAGGACCTCCTCCTGCCAAGCAGCTCCAAAGCTGCAACTCTAACAACACTCCATCTCCTTGGCATCAGCCCGCCACGCAGACATCACCAAAGCAAGCAGCTCCGACTTGGCACGACCTCACAAGACACAGCACAATCATTTGCCCAGTACCGCACAGCAGCGAACCGCTGTAGCTGTCCCTTTCCTCTGAGGCTAGAGCCATAAAAGGCCTGAGACAACTTGTCCTGCAATGAAACTTCTTTGATGTCCATCCGGAGTCCGGACCACACAATTGACACACAGCCCCAGACCAATCAACTCCTTGGTTCGGTTCACCATGTCGTTTGTCTTCTTATCAAGCTGCCTGGACATAGCCCTAGAGCATGGTACAAGCCCCCTGCACAAGAGCATGGCCTCAGTTTGCCAGTCAGCTGATCGACGGCCAGCGCTTGCTGTCGCTCCACTTTGGTGGCTTCCCACACCAAGCGCCAATTGTTGACCTGCATCTGCAGCATCTGCAGCTGTAACCCGAACGTTCCATTGCGAGCATGGGAGCATGGGACAGACCCGTGTGCTTCTCTGAGCATCATGCGCAAATGTGAAGCAGCGCCCGGTTGCCTGGGGGTGGCGGGTCTCGGAAGAGTTAAACAAGACAGCAAATGTGCAGACCTGGAACAGACCCGGGATCACAACTAAAGAAAATGCTGCCATCAAGGGTCGAGCCTGTGGCATTGAACTGCGACACCATCAATGACTTCATTTTCTCTTTCTTCTCCTTGGAGCACCCTCTTGGAAATAAAGCACATGCAGGCCGATCAGCCGGGCGGCAGCTTCTGCTCGCCTCATCTTCTCCATCTGATCCTTGTGCTGAATCCGCTCTTCGTGCTGCTTCTGCTCGAGGACGGTCTGCCTGCACAGTACGGTTTGGAATTGTCCACATGTTCTTTCAAGGTAAATCCAGGAAGGCACCAGGACCCGTAAGGTGGCCAAAGGATTTGTGCATCGCTGTGACACCAAGCACCTCCAGCTGATGACCCACTTGGCGAAGGCGTCGCTCAACACCTCCTGAGCGACACAAGCCATAAGAGTGTTTGAACCAAGCCCGTGTCACCTGAGGCACCTCGCCTTCTTGTCCTTGGCGAACATGTTTGAGGCAACCAGCTGCCTGACCCGATCATTCTTCAGCCTCTGCTCCTTCGATCACGGCTCGCCATCACACACACCCACTCACAGACACACAGACACACAGACACACAGACACGCACACGCAACAGACGCACACACACGCTTGTCACCCAATCGCTAGGCAGGGTGGGGGATGGTCAAGAAGCCGCAAGTCAGGGCAGAAGGGAAGCCTTGCTTTATTAGGGCGAGCCCTCCAGCTGCCCGCGACGGGGCCCAAGAGCAGCTCTCAAGCAGGTACTTTTCACGAGAAGCATGTGAGGTCTTCGTTGGCAAGCCGCCCACATACTTTTCCGGCTGCCCCCTACTTCAAAGGGTCCTTAACCTTGAAAGCAGGCTTTGCAAGATTCTTTTTCTCTGGCTGCAAGCCGGAGACTAAATCGCAAACGCACGGCTCCGCAAGACATAGCCTTGGGAAGTTTCCCGCGCAAGTCAATGCCCCAAGAACAGCGGTGGTCAAAAAAAACAGGTATTGCGCTCCTGGCCTGCTGCAACACTTCTGGATGAAGTTGCTTAAACACTTGGGCGCCCAACCAGGTGTCTACACAGCCGCTCAAGTGCCCTGCTGAAAAAACTCTGCAAAATTTGCTGCGGCAAGAAGTTATAGCGGGGGACAGTTGGGGAATGTGGAGCCTTGACAACTTAAAGGCGCTTGCCCCACTCTTCCCGCAAGAACTCTTCAGCTTGCTGCGCAGATCTGCTGGCAAATGGTTTTGGTGGGCCCCTTGCTGAGCAGCCTGTTGAAACTGCACACAGAACACCTTGAAACGTGGAAAGCACGAAGACGTAGAAGAATGACAGATAATCATAGCGAGATCAGTCGGCGGCAAACTTCTTGTGATTCCAAAGAAGCTTCTGCACTGAAGGGTGACAAGTGTCCTTGACCGAGGTAGACGACAAGTGAAATGGGACGGACAGCTCCCGGAATTCAAAGAAATCTTTGAGAGCCACTTCTTGCACTCAGCAAGAGAATTCGAATGGGCTAACGTAGGGATCCGCAAGGGCTGCACCCCGGCATAAAATGTCATGTTACGGGACTTGCAGATTTTGCGAAGCTCTTCTCTGACTGCCGACCGCTGAGGCTGCCCAAGGTGGTCCGAGAGCCGCAAGAAACAGTAAACTTCTTCGTCTGAAAAGCGGCCAGACATGATCTCCAAGACTTTGCTGGAGTGAACTGAACAGGGTACGGTATCTTATACCGTGTAGGCCTTGACAAGCTGGACGCGGGAAACTTGGCGAGACCTGGCTGTGAACTGCAGGCCCACTGTGGATTGCTTTGTGAAGGACTCAATCCAAGGTTGTTGAGCTTGCGCTGAGAATTGCGAAATCAAGACATGCTCCAGCACCGTCTGTAAGATTCTTCAGCGGAAACGACACCAGGAACGAATCCATGAATTCGCCCAGAGTGGGACCACCAACGTAGAGACAGCTCGGCTTTCACAAACTTGCCACGCCATGCCTGCGTCAGCTTGGAAGGGCGGTTCCAGCGGCGCGCGCAACCCCACGCAAGTGCTGCCAGTGTAAGTCTGTTCAGAGCAAATATTGAACACTGCGCACGTTGAGACATGAAACAGCGAACAGACCACATGGCAACAAGTGAATAAGTGCCATGTGTAGGACTCCGCGTCTAGCCGTAGAGCTTGAAGAAAGTCTGGACACAAGGATGCAGAAAGTAAACGCAGAAACGCCAATGACGTTCATTAATGAAAAACAATGCTGCCAGCAGCACATTGTGGCACCGTTTGCAAATCTCAGCTGAGGGCTTCTTTGCAAGACCGTTGTTCAGAGCATTGAGAAACTTGCGGCCGAGCATAGCGTCTTCAAATTGTTGGGCGTGAGGTGTGACGCTGCATTAAACGGAGCCCCCCATCTAACAATAGCTGCCCGCAAGTCTGCTTTCTTTGCCGACGGCGTGCGATCTAAAATCTTCTTCAAACGCCCATCGTTTGGCCTTTGAAAAGATGGCCACGAGTTTCACTGGCCCGAGATTTAACACTCTTGTTGTCAGTGGGAGCGCTGGACAACGATTGGTCAGAAACAGCTGGCTGTAAAAGCAAAACAAGTGAGACTTTGTCTCCAGAGGTTCGCGGTCGCTTGGGGGGAAGCGGGTTGGGGCCCAAGCTCCGCTTTAGGCAACTCGGCAGACAGGTTCTTGCAAGTCAACATCTTGGTTCGCAGCTGCCTTTTTTGGGCGTGCACCTTTGCATCCTTATGTTTATTGGAGTCTTGTTCACCAGCACAGGGCTCAAAAGACTTCAGCGCAGCAAGAACTGCGCAATCCATGAACTTATTGGCCTCCTCCACTTTGGATGGGACCGGCTGCCCAGCATGTTGGAGTTCCCACATACGTGCACAGATCTGATCTACATCCCAACCCCGGTCTCGGATGTGAAAAAACGCACGCACAATCAGAGTACCGATTCGGACACATTTCAAGAAGACTACTCCGGTGAATCATCCATACACCACCGCGGGTGAGACTAGCCACCGGAAGTTGGTCTACACGAACCCCTTAAATTCCTTGTCTTCGAGACCAGCTTGGGCTGGACGGTTCTGTACAACGGTGGGTAGCCTTTTGTGTCAAGACACTGCGAGTCGGGTTGAAACTCACGTGGTAGGGGGCGCGAGGGAAGCTTTAGCTTCCTCTGGTAGGAACCTCGCCATTTCCATCCGGACTGGTCAGCCCATGATGAACGATATCCGGGTCCCCACCAAGACATTGCTACACTATGGCCGACGTACACCCGAGAACGCGCGTCCAGGATCGGACCAAAACTGCGGCGTATGACGTGTGGCAGTTTTTGACAATTGGCCACGGCGTACGCAATCACCGCAAGTCGATTGAAAAAGTTGGGGCGCACAGGGGCCTTTAGGTTGGGGTGAGCCCTCCAACTGCCCTCCAACTGCTCTCGCCAGGGCCCAAGAGCAGCTCAAAAACAGGCAACCTTTAGGTTGGGGTGAGCCCTCTGAACAGCTCTACGTCTATCCACCTGCAAACTCCAGTCTGCAAAAGATAAAGGTTGAAACGATGCACTTTGGCTCGGCCACGTGTGCTTCAAAACTGCCAGTGAGAAGGCGGCTTTGCCGCTGCCCGCCAAGCAACTCGGTGAGTCTTTGTGGGAATCACCAACATTCCAGAATAGTTGATGACCCCGAGCAGAGAAACGTCCAAGAAAGCACCAAACGGTCCAGGCTGCAGAAAATGGAACTTGGCCCCAAGACATCCCTGTTTCACCAAACAAGTGTGGCCAACATGAGAAATGTTCATGTATTCTTCCTGGTCAAAAAGTAGCCTCCGAAAAATATTGTCAGCTACGCAAGACCGACAAGAAATTGCATCAGGCCAACATCGTGTTGCATGTATTGAAAACATGAGAACGTGTTGTTGGCCCGGCCCGATCTGTGGGCAGGCTGACAACTGAAAAAGAGAAGAAGAAAAAATAAAAAGAAAAAACGTGCATGAAACACGCATGAAACGACAACACAAAAGATGATACGCATGTTCCACCTCGAAAGTCTGCAATTAAACCCATAGAAAATCTGGACAACATTCCTTCTTGCGGGCTTCCAGCATTTGGAACATGTTATCGGCTGATGTGATTTCTGCGGGGCTCACCGAATTCCCGAAAAGTTGTCGGCCTAGCAACAATTTTTGACCGGAGCTTGGGGTTCAGCTGGGCCTCGCCCCCCCTTTTTACAACTCAGCTTCCGAAAGGTATGCCAAGAAGTGGCCTGGATGGACTCAATAATTAGACTAACACCCTTCTGACAGCAAGCTTGAAACAATCACGGTGAATCCTTCTTCACATTATCGAGATCATTCTTGTGGTCGCGCATGTCCTTCTCAAGCTTCCTCAGGGTGCAAGTATCTTGTTTGCTGTGATAGCCTACGGCAAACTCGTCATTGCAAGGCCTTGCCAACAACTCATTCTTGGTGTGGTCTTTCCACGTAGTAAGGATGAGAGCGGTGTTGTCATATAAGACCTACACCAGCAGTGACGATACCCAGAAGTGTCCCACTAGAAACGACTTGCCTTTCTGTACATGTTCAAGCCGGCAATCGTTGCAGCTTTGTTGGCTTTCTCCATCTCAAGGCGCTTGATTTTCGCCATCTCCTGCACAAA